ATCCAAAGAAATTCAGGAACAAATGAGAAACAAAGTAATTGAGATCTATCAGTCTGGAAAAGGTTACAAAGCCATTTCTAAAGCTTTGGGACTCCAGCGAACCACAGTGAGAGCCATTATCCACAAATGGCGAAAACATGGAACAGTGGTGAACCTTCCCAGGAGTGGCCAGCCAACCAAAACTACCCCAAGAGCGCAGCGATGACTCATCCAAGAGTTCACAAAAGACCCCAGAACAACATCCAAAGAACTGCAGGCCTCACTTGCCTCAGTTAAGGTCAGTGTTCATGACTCCACCATAAGAAAGAGACTGGGCAAAAATGGCCTGCATGGCAGAGTTCCAAGCCGAAAACTACTGCTGAGCAAAAAGAACATAAAGGCTCGTCTCAGTTTTGCCAGAAAACATCTCGATGATCCCCAAGACTTTTGGGAAAATACTCTGTGGACTGACGAGACAAAAGTTGAACTTTTTGGAAGGTGCATGTCCCATTACATCTGGCGTAAAAGTAACACGGCATTTCAGAAAAGGAACATCATCCCAACAGTCAAATATGGTGGTGGTAGTGTGATGGTCTGGGGCTGTTTTGCTGCTTCAGGACCTGGAAGACTTGCTGTGGTAAATGGAACCATGAATTCTGCTGTCTACCAAAAAATCCTGAAGGAGAATGTCCGGCCATCTGTTCGTGACCTCAAGCTGAAGCGCACTTGGGTTCTGCAGCAGGACAATGATCCAAAACACACCAGCAAGTCCACCTCTGAATGGCTTAAGAAAAACAAAATGAAGACTTTGGAGTGGCCTAGTCAAAGTCCCGACCTGAATCCGATTGAGATGCATGACCTTAAAAAGGCGGCTCATGCTCAAAAACCCTCCAATGTGGCTGAATTACAACAATTCTGCAAAGATGAGTGGGCCAAAATTCCTCTACAGCGCTGTAAAAGACTCATTGCCAGTTATCGCAAATGCTTGATTGCAGTTGTTGCTGCTAAGGGTGGCCCAACCAGTTATTAGGTTTAGGGGGCAATCACTTTTTCACACAGGGCCATGTAGGTTTGGATTTTTTTTTCCCCTTAATAATAAAAACCTTCATTTAAAAACTGCATTTTGTGTTTACTTGTGTTATCTTTGTCTAATATTTAAATTAGTTTGATGATCTGAAACATTTAAGTGTGACAAACATGCAAAAAAATAAGAAATCAGGAAGGGGGCAAACACTTTTTCACACAACTGTGTGTATATATATATATATACAGTGGGTACGGAAAGTATTCAGACCCCTTTAAATTTTTCACTCAGTTTCATTGCAGCCATTTGCTAAAATCAAAAAAGTTCATTTTATTTCTCATTAATGTACACTCAGCACCCCATCTTGACAGAAAAAAACAGAAATGTAGAAATTTTTGCAAATTTATTAAAAAAGAAAAACTGAAATATCACATGGTCATAAGTATTCAGACCCTTTGCTGTGACACTCATATTTAACTCGCATGCTGTCCATTTCTTCTGATCCTCCTTGAGATGGTTCTACTCCTTCATTGGAGTCCAGCTGTGTTTAATTAAACTGATTGGACTTGATTAGGAAAGGCACACACCTGTCTATATACCTTACAGCTCTCAGTGCATGTCAGAGCAAATGAGAATCATGAGGTCGAAGGAACTGCCCAAGGAGCTCAGAGACAGGATTGTGGCAAGGCACAGATCTGGCCAAGGTTACAAAAGAATTTCTGCAGCACTCAAGGTTCCTAAGAGCACAGTGGCCTCCATAATCCTTAAATGGAAGAAGTTTGGGACGACCACAACTCTTCCTCGACCTGGCCGTCCAGCCAAACTGAGCAATCGTGGAAGAAGAGCCTTGGTGAGAGAGGTAAAGAAGAACCCAAAGATCACTGTGGCTGAGCTCCAGAGATGCAGTAGGGAGATGGGAGAAAGTTCCACAAAGTCAACTATCACTGCAGCCCTCCACCAGTCGGGGCTTTATGGCACAGTGGACCGGCGGAAGCCTCTCCTCAGTGCAAGACATATGAAAGCCCGCATAGAGTTTGCCAAAAAACACATGAAGGACTCCCAGACTATGAGAAATAAGATTCTCTGGTCTGATGAGACCAAGATTGAACTTTTTGGCGTTAATTCTAAGCGGTATGTGTGGAGAAAACCAGGCACTGCTCATCACCTGCCCAATACAATCCCAACAGTGGAACATGGTGGTGGCAGCATCATGCTATGGGGGTGTTTTTCAGCTGCAGGGACAGGACGACTGGTTGCAATTGAAGGAAAGATGAATGCGGCCAAGTACAGAGATATCCTGGAAGAAAACCTCTTCCACAGTGCTCTGGACCTCAGACTGGGCCGAAGGTTCACCTTCCAACAAGACAATGACCCTAAGCACACAGCTAAAATAACAAAGGAGTGGCTTCGGAACAACTCTGTGACCATTCGTCACTGGCCCAGCCAGAGCCCTGACCTAAACCCAATTGAGCATCTCTGGAGAGACCTGAAAATAGCTGTCCACCAACGTTCACCATCCAACCTGACGGAACTGGAGAGGATCTGCAAGGAAGAATGGCAGGATCCCCAAATCCAGGTGTGAAAAACTTGTTGCATCATTCCCAAGAAGACTCATGGCTGTACTAGCTCAAAAGGGTGCTTCTACTCAAAACTGAGCAAAGGGTCTGAATACTTATGACCATGTGATATTTCAGCTTTTCTTTTTTAATAAATTTGCAAAAAATTCTACATTTGTTTTTTTCTGTCAAGATGGGGTGCTGAGTGTACATTAATGAGAAATAAAATGAACTTTTTTTGATTTTAGCAAATGGCTGCAATGAAACAGAGTGAAAAATTTAAAGGGGTCTTAATACTTTCCGTACCCACTGTATATACACACTGTGCGTTTATATGAACATAACTTTATGTAAACCTCTTATGCTTCATGTGTTCAGGTGAACGTTTACATTCTGGGGAAAACCTTCCTGCTGTTGGCTCGTGAGCTCTGCATCAACGCTCCGGCCATCGGTGAGAACGTTCTTCACTTATTTAAACATCTCATCTCTTTATTCTTTATGGAGGAAGACAATGAGGTCACATGACCTCCATCTTTATGTGGCGGGAAAATCTTTGTGTTCAATGACGCATAAGATCATCTGAAAATCTCCAGGACCGTCTGTAGATAAGACGCCACGCTGTGAAGGTTTCATGGTTCTGTATATTCTACTAATATAATAAGGTTTCATTTTGAGCATTCAGACAGCTCATTTGGATGAAACCTGACTGTGTTTGTCTAAAATACTGATTCTCCTGCAGTAAGACTATGAGAAGCTAACACAACTTCAACACAAACATCATCACTAAACACAGCAAGAAGAAATGTACTTTTTAAAATCACACTCTTGGTTCCAATGGAAAAAACTTTTCAAAGTGCATTTACTACATTTCCCATGAACCACTGTCAACTACAAGCTCCTCTAGTGGCAGCAACAGGAAACTACAGCAGGACGTCGCCTCAAAGAAACAAGAGTTTTAGATTCACTCATTCAACTTTAATGGTCATTCAGGATTTACTTTAAGAAGCACAGACGAACCAATCAGCTTCCAGTTCACCTGAACGGTGAATCAGATCTTGAGTCTTTGCAGCTTGTTGTTCCCTCTGACTTCACTCCCACAGGTGTTCTGATTGATTAAAGGTCTGTCCGGTTCTGGTTCAGCAGTAGAAGACCAGTTCAGGGATCTGCCCCCCTTGCACACCGGTCCCGTTGGTGCTGTCCGACGAACACTGAAACTGGAAGGTCACTTTCCCACACTGCACCTCGGTCATCCCCTCCTGACCGAAGTAACTGAGCTCATTTCCATCCAGGACGGCGCTGACCGTGTAGAAGGTGTCCTGCTCCACCTGGACCGGGTGTTCGAACCCCACCGGGAAGGTGCTGCTGGATCCGTCTGACATGAACTTGGTGAGGTTCTGGGCCACAACGGTTCCCTGCCTCTTCAGTTCGATCTTAACGCTGTACTCGGCCTTCCCGCCACTCGACCCGTACAGACCGAGTCCGGCCATGAAGATCCGCCGATCCACTGCGAACTGGATGCTGTCGCAGCGTCCCCTGTAGCGCCACTGGTTGCTGCGGTAGGCCGAGGACTGGAAGCGGTGGCACCTCTGAGGCGCCAGTCCGGCCCGCTTCACCAGAGGGAACTCCAGTATGGGTTTGCTGGAGGCAGTAAACCACAGGAAAACATCGTGAGTCTCTTTCACCATCAGGACGTCTGACTGCGCCACTGAGTCGGCAAACTCCTGCAGGGTCATGGAGGGGATCCGGACCAGGTACAGAGCCTTACCCAGCACCGCCCGCTGGTTCCTGGGGCTCACCGGCAGACCCCGACGTCGACACTCAGCCGCCGCCCAGCTCAACACAGCTTGGAAGATTTGGACCTCTTGGATGTTGAGCGACTCTCTCTGCAGAATGATCTCCAGTGTCGGCAGGTCGATCTCACAGAAGCCTTCGGATCGCAGAGCGAGTTCAGCCTGAGCGTCTATCACCTCCCAGCAGCGCTGCGTCAGCTCCGGCTCCTCGAACAGCCGGCTCTGAGACAACAGCACGCAGGCGTTCTTGGCCTCCAGACTGGTCTCCAGAAAGCAGACGCAGGCCTTTGCCAGAGCAGGAACAATGTACTTCTTAGCAGCGTACAGCGTGGCGAGTACGGTGTCTGCCTCCAACTCTATCTCATCACTGTACATGTACCTGAAACGGGATCATACACGTGTCAGGGACCTGAGGAACTACATACAATACACAAACACCAGATTGTTTGGGAGTTCAGCCTTTAGCGACTTATTGATCTAATCAGCACCTGGAATCCCATCCAGGACCACTGGAGCCCTCAGTAGGATACAAACTGGACCACCTAGAACCCTTTCTGAAGGACTATAGGAGGGGCAGCTGAAGCTCAGGTGGTAGAGTGAGTCTGTTATTGTCGTGGTTCTACTCCTGTTCTTACTTGAAGGATCCTAGAGTAAGACATGTCTAAACCCTCTTTACTAGAACCCTGAAACGACCTCAATAATCCCCGTTTTGTTTAGTAACTCCTGGAATCAACATCCAGCAACTCTGACACTTCCTACTGGACCATTGGGTTCGTCTTAGGGAGCCCTGGAAAGACCTGGTCACACCAGGAAGTAGATCAGCCTGATGTGACCCTTAGTGACTATTCAAAGGCCTCGTTGAGGAGCTACCATAGTTGGCCGATGGTCAGTGAAGGGTTTCTTTAGACAGCTTCCCCCCTGTAGAATCAGTTTCACCCCATCAAGATATTCAGACCTTTACTTTGGAAAGCACCAATCGGAAATCCTATTTGTCTCTTTGTTGTCATTGGCGGTCTTCTGGTTGTATAGAAGATAAACAGACAGAGCCTTCTCCATATCTGCCCCCTCCCTCTGGAACTCTCTCCCCAAACACATCCGAGCACTGACCTTTGACATTCAAATCTCAAATCAAAACCCACCTGTTCAAAACTGCTTTTAATGTGTGACCACTATTGTGTATTTTATGTTTTTAGTGCATTGCTTTTATCTATGATGATTTTAATGTAAAGTGTCTTTGAGTTTTATGAAAAGCGCTATATAAATAAAATGTATATTATTATTATTATTATTATTATTATTATAAACTGGAAACATGAACTGGTCTCCAGACTGGACTCACTTTAACAGGATGAGGAAAGCAGCTGGCTCCACGTCAGGGATGTGGATCTCAGATTGACCCTCTGCCAGATCTCCATAAAACATGGCCCCAAACACCGAGCTGCCCACCGCCAGGACGTACTGAAACACCAATCACAAAGGTGAGCAGAGAGGAACAGGATGTACTGAAATACCAATCACAAGGGCGAGCAGAGAGGAACAGGAAGTACTGAAATACCAATCACAAGGGCGAGCAGAGAGGAACAGGAAGTACTGAAATACCAATCACAAAGGTGAGCAGAGAGGAACAGGAAGTACTGAAATACCAATCACAAGGGCGAGCAGAGAGGAACAGGAAGTACTGAAACACCAATCACAAGAGCGAGCAGAGAGGAACAGGAAGTAGATCCACACAGTCACATGACGGCTCACCTTATGAGCAGGAACTCTCTGAGTGTCTCCTGGAGGACCGACGAGGAAGTGAACGTCGGCCATCTGCTCGTTGTTGAACATCAGAGCGTTCCTAAAGGAAAACAAGTGTTTACTCCTCAGATTTACACTGCATGCATAATTATTAGACAAGTTGTATTGAGGATTCATTTTATTATTGAACAACTACAGTGCTCTCGGTCAATGTCAAGATATTGGGGCGTGATCACAGAACCATCAAACGTTTTGTTGCAAATAGTCAACAGGGTCGCAAGAAACGTGTTGAGAAAAAAAGACGCAAATGAACTGCCAAAGATTTGAGAAGAATGAAACATGAAACTACCAGGAACCCATCATCCTCCAGTGCTGTCATATTCCAGAAGGTGTTCAGTGCTCAGAGACACGAGGTAAGGAAGGCTGAAACCAGACCACCACTGAACAACACACTGAAGTTGAAACGTCAAGACTGGACCAAGAAATATCTGAAGACAGATGTTTCAAAGGTTTTATGGACTGATGAGATGAGAGTGACTCTCGACGGACCAGATGGATGGATCAGTAACGGCACAGAGCTCCACCAGCAAGGTGGAGGTGGAGCTCTGCTATGGGCTGCTATCATTAAAGATGAGCTAGTTGCACCTTTTCGGGTTGAAGATGGACTCAAAATCAACTCCCAAACCTACTGCCAGTTTTTAGAAGACTTCAAGCAGTGGAAAAGGAAAAAGTCTGCATCTTTCAAGAAGACCATGATTGTTATGCAGACTATGCTCCATCGCATGAAGTACTCCAGTGCGTGGCGAGTAAAGGCCTTACAGATGAAAGAATAACGACATGGCCCCCTTCCTCACCTGAACCCTATTGAGAACTTGTGGGCCCTTCTTAAACACGCCACCTCTCTGAACAGAGTCTGGGAGGCTGTGGTAGATCATGAATGAAGGCTTATTACTGTTAAAAGAAGGGCGGATATATTGCTCACCGATTTGTTTTTTGAAATGTTAATTTGTAAATTTTGAGTTATTATTCTCACTTTAACGGATGAAAATAAACAAGTGAGATGTTTTTCATTTAGTTGCTTAATAATTGTGCACACACAGATCTCCTAAGAAAGCCAAAACCTCACTTTTACTTTCGTAAATATTCAGGTTTATTAACATTTTGGATTGAACGAGAGCTCTGTCGTTTTTTAATCCTCAAAAATATATTTATTTATTTAACATATATATATATATATATATATACATATACATGTATATACATGTATATACATA